ACAAGACACAATTTGATATACAGCTGTCAATGGTCATAAAAGGCAATTAAAAGGAATTCTACACATATGTAAAGAGTAAGTGGAAGATCAAAGAAACCATAGGCCCCTTATGGAATATAAAAGACAATCTAACTATGGATGATGCAAAGAAGGGTGAAATATTTAAAGTCTTGTTATTTCAGTCTTCACAAACATGGGAAGCTACAAGATGAAGAGTGCAGTTGGCAGCAAAAGTAGAAAAGAGACAAGCAGCCTACTGTGGTAGAAGAACAGTTATGAATTAGAAAAGCTAGATGTTTTCCTGTGACGTGCCATGAGTTACAGTGGGGAGCTGCACATCTGTCAGCACCCAAGGGAAGTGATTCTTCTGCTCTCTTCTGCACTTGTGCGGACTCCCCTGGAATACCGTGTCCTGCTTTGGAAAGGGTTCAGCCAGATTGGAAAGAATGCAGCACAGAGTGACAAAAATGATGAGAGGCCTGATAAGCAAGACTTATGAGGAAAGACTAAAAGAGCTAGGGTTATTTATTCTGGAAAAGAGAATACTGAAGGGGGGTGGATTTGATAACAAAATGTTTAAGGGTTTAGTGTTTTAAGGGTAATTCTGGAGAGGATAGAGATGGTATTTTCTCTGTATTCATATGGGCCAGGACTAGGAGTAATACACTCAAGTTTCAGCAGAGGAATCTGAGGTTGGATATTAGGAGGAAAGTTCTGACAATGAGGGTAGTCAAGCATTGGAACAGCTGACTTAGAGAATTTATGGAATCTCCATCCTTGGGTTTTGAAGAGCATGTTGGATAGACACTTGTCTCAGGTGGCTTATTCAGGGATGATTCTGTCTTGAGCAGGGGTCTGGACTAGATGGACCTTTCAAGCCTTATTTTTTTTATGATCCTATTTACTAAACTTTCCCAATTCACAGAACTGGTGTCTCAGTTACTCTCTTCTATATTGCATTTCAGATACCTTTTGGGAATCTGCATGGTACCAGATTTCTTGAGCTAGATATCTAATTAACAGTACTAGCAGGGTACTGACAAAAAGTCTGAGGAGGTAGTCACATGATAAAACGTGGATAAAACTTAGGAAAATGGCATTTTTATATATGCAAGCACCGCAGTGCTGGGTGCTTTGTAAAGCACCTGGCATTGCATTGCTTGCAGTTGTATAAGTGGCAAAACATGCGTTAACATGCAGAAAATGATGGGAGTGCACTTTTGAACTAAAACACATATTTTAGTTTAAAACTAGTTGAACCAGATCCCTGGCACATCTGGGCACAAAAACTAAATGTATAAATGCTCAAGAAGTCCTAATAAAGCCAAATTAATGATGGTGTTTACACTCTCACTGGCAGTCTTAACATTTGGGTATATGTCCCTCTCCTTTTCAACAGAACAGCAAAGGAGAATACTGAAAGTTATGCATTATCTTGCAGAATAATGCAAAATATGCCTCAGAATGGTACCTCCTGATATCATCAGTTTACATTGCTGGAAGCTATTTGGAAATCAGGGAAAAGGCAACCATGCCCTGTAATCTTGATAGAGGACTTTCTTTCTTTTATATTCCATGTGGAGATAGCTGTACCCCACAATGAATTTCAGGCACTTGGAACTAGAGATGGGGGGGGAAGTTACAGTTTTTTCCTTATAGTTTGTTCTTTACACAAGGTTTCCTGTTTGTAGTTTGGATTACTACTATGGCTCATAGTAAAATGCATGATGATAAAAGATACTATAGAAAAGCTTTTAAAAGTTATATTAATATTTTTAAAGCTTTTTTTAGAAGGTGAATGCTGACTTCGAGAACGTTAAATCATTTTTTAGGACTTGTCTTTTTAAAAGAATTGCCTTTAAAAAATTTTACTTAAAAATTTCATGAAGATATTTTAATGATGTGGTTGTAAATACATATTTGAACCTTTTTTCTGTATCTATTCCCTACGTTACCATAATGCAGCATAGAATGAGACTTAGTACTCAATAAACACATTTTGATATCAGAGATTTCTTATTTGAAATTTGTGCCATAAGAAGCTGAAGGTGGCTGAAATGGTGTGGTGGGTAGTGAGAGGGATGGCATTGTAGCCAATCACTTGGGTAGGCCCTTTTGTACGTTGCATAGAAGAGCTTGGATCAGCCTTTTCCCAATTGTGGTAGAAGAAGTCAGCCTGGCCAAGCAGTATACTGGCAAAACCATAAACCCAATCATGCACAGCATGTGGAGAGGAACATGTGGGAACATATGAGGGTACATTGAAAGAAAAATGGATGTCCATCACCATTATGAACATGTGAAGAAATGCTATAAAATTTAGAGCAAGCTAGAGAAAAACTTGGAAAGAATACTTTTTCTTGCCTCTCCAAAATGATGGAATTCAGTGCTAGGAAAAAAAAAACAGACGGCAGTTGTGTAGCTCAGCATGCGTTAGCAATGACTTACGATAAAGAAAAACACAAGTGTGCACACTGTTCTCCTCAGCTGTGACTCTTTCAGCCTCAGTAGTGAATCTGTTTTGGCCTGTTTCAGGTCTTCCAAAGGTGAAGATCAGTGAAAACATCAAGCCAACGAGATACCCACTTTAGAAGTAATGCAGTGATGCTGTCCTTAGCATTTTCTAGGCAAACTGTAGCCAACCTGTGGCACGGGTGGCACAAATTGTTGCCTTAAGAACCAGGGGGAAGCTGGTTCTTCTCCTAAATGGAGAGCAAACAGCAGGGTTGATATTGCCTTAAAGTATGCTTCAGTTTTTCTCCAAATGAGAACCCGGTTATCTTCTCCAAACGTAAACCTATGTATTTTCTCTAAATGATAATCCAGTTAATTCTTTAATAAATAAGTTTTATTAAGCATTATACAGTATGAACTCCAAGCATGCATATAGATATAATCTTAGCAAGCAATTCATTGCATGTTACTAGTCCTGATAATATACATCTCAAACGCTGGCCGGGCATCTCAGAGCAGGCTGGTTGCTTGAAGGGAGATCAGATGTCTTCAGTTCTCAGACATTGTTAGGGGAAGGGAAAGGGAAAGGGAAAGGGAAAGGGAAAGCTGAAGAGGAATGAGTTTTCCTTTGTTCAGGTGGAAATATTTATAATCCTTCAGTCATATAGTTACCAGTTAAGCCAATTTTTTGTTCGTCATCAACACATGTGTTATGTCTCTAGTTTATTGCTATTTTTCCCTTCTTTTGGCACCAGGAGCCTTCTGCTCCAAATATAGACAGAATGCACTATAACAAGCCCTTTTGTCTATCACAAGTGTTTTTAAAAGACCTTTTACAAAAACATAAGTTATATCAGACCTTCCTCTGTAGAAAAACAGCTTCCAGAGTCACATTGCCTATACACATATGCTAACTCCATGAATGCACCCTAGCCCACTTATGCCAAGGCTGCTAGGCCTAGTAGGCCTGAGGGACCATTTCAGTCCTGTAAAGCATCAAGAGGCTGAACTGTCTTCATACTCCCCCATTTGACACTGGAAACGTTTTTCAGTATCATTCTCAGAGCAAGTGCATATAGATATCATACAGTCGCTTGTTTTCTGCAAAAATCATCAAATGTCTAATTTTCTTTTTAACATAACAGCACATACCACACATAATGAAGAATAAAACTATTTACAACACAACTATAATAACTATTGAATGTAAGGCTAAATTAAAAAATCCAGTTGCAGTACAGCATTCCACCAAGAACGTTGTCCAACATCTTGGACCTTTTCTAATACTGTTAATACTGCTTGAACTATTGTTTCTCAGGGATAGTTCTTAATAGACTGGAGCACAGTTTGCAATTCAGGGTGAGACTTAACGTGTTGCAAAAGGGGCAAATTCAACCCTAGTTGTACTGGAAAACCTCATGATATAGGCAAGGTTTGGCTTGGATAGAGTGTAGTCCAACAAGGCACAAAATACATAAAATCATAACCCCTAATAAATGAAACATTACAAGAGCATTGATTAATAGAAAACAACATTAGATATAAAAAATGTTGTTTAAGCAATACATATGGACAACGAGTACAGGTTGGTATGCTACCCAGAGATTGATTTGAGCATCAGAGTGCAAAGAAGCAGGACTCAGCTACACACCAGCTGGTAGGTGACACTCATATCACTCCTAGCTCAGAACAGAGGAGACCAGAACAGTGTCTAGTTCTTTGTATAGCTTGTGCTATGTGTATCTGTCTAAAGCAAACCCCTTGAAAAATACCTAATATTATGTCCAAAGGTTGGATCTCTGGGAAAGAATGAGCCAGGTGAGGTGTTTCTTTGACAGAAAGTCTAGCACGGATCTTAGGGGTCTTCGGCATCTATGCAATATGATTTCACTTCAGTGAAAGGGTCAGGGGAACAGACTCTTTGCCTGGAATGATTGGGTTAAATAATAGAGCCTGTTCGTACTTAGGGATTTATAGCACACAGGTCTATAATGCTGGCTTCCGAACACAGTCGATGAGCAAATGTCTAGCAGAAAAAGTTTTAGTGGGGCTGTGATAACATCCCCACAGTAACATGATACCTTGACTCATACTGCAGAGGCATTTGGTGCATGTCAAGCAGTCAATTGAACTGTGCTAATATTTCTTTCAAAACAATATTAGCTTCACTTGTGTAAAAACAAAGTAGAAACTGAAAATTGTCCGCAAAAGATTGGTTTGGCCCTAATGCAAATTAAAATAGCTGTTCTCCTGCCGTGGATCTGCCACAGGTTCAAGGGGGCATTATAGAATTGAGACTCTACATCTTGCAGAAAATCACCTATCTTTGAATAATCCTTTTGCCTAGTACATTTAATTCATGGGGCTGTAGCTCAAGAGGGCTTTATCAGAGCTAAGGATCTTGTTCAGAATGGTTAGAACAAGTGTAGTTATCTTGTTAGCATGCAAGTACAATTATTTGGTGTGTCGACTCACCACCATCTTCTTGCGTACAGAAGAGAATTTAAAATGAATCATACATTTCTTTCTAATGTCTGTATATTCAGCTGGTATCCACTCTGTCCTGTAAAGCACTCCTGAGTACCTCCTCTTTCTCTGAAGACTGAGGAACAAAGTGAGTAGGTTTTGAGTTATCAACATGTTCTGTTACTTTTGTGATTGCAGTTTAATAGGAATGAACATAAAACTACGTATTTGCTTGCACGATAATAGGAAACCTTGTTATTAATAACTCCATCTATAGCACAAATTTGACATGCTAGTTTGCCACTTGTGTGCACTGTTATCTTGTAATAATGTAAAGTGCTATAGGCATAAAAATGAAGTATTCTTACCAAAAATTAATATAAAATATATACCACACTTTAGAGAATAACCAGTCTGTCACTGAAGCATAGCCAATCAAATTAATGCGTTTTTTTTAGAGTAGCCTTTCCTTCCTATTGAAGAAGAACATAACTTTGCTAAGATAATAAAGAATATTTCAGTGTGCTTGGAAAGACCAGCAGCCTGAACCTTCAGTCCTGACTCATATAATTCATATGAGTAGTCTCAGGTGAGAATTCAATGTATAAGTAAGAGTTTCAGGACAATTTGTGTAGTGTCACCTTGTAAGAAGTTAATGAGAACCAAGTCCTTATTTTCCTATGCTCCACCACAGACAATCAAGTAATCCTTTGAGTCCCATGTCCCTCTTCTACATCAACTACCCCCCCCACATCCCATTCAGTCTTATTCCACTATATTCTATGCTTGAAAGTTCCCTTCCTTCTCTCTTTAAGTATAACCTCTACTTCTGTCTCTGAAACATGCGTGTAGAAATTTAGCCCCCAATACTATGTTACATTAAAATATTTAACAGTCATGAAAATGGATAAACTAGAGTATGGCACAATTTGATATTATGAATGAAGTATATGTTCCAATTTATGAACTGTTTAAAGCAAAAAATAATCTATTTATATAGAAGGAGAATTTAATGGATATTCATGTACAAAGCTCCTTCCTCTTTTCCCACAGTGAAACTTCCCAGTTAATCTTTCCAGTATACAGAACATGGCTCAAGGCAGAGGGGGGAGTAATAATTGCCATATTCTTTCCAGTAAAAGTGGAAACTGTCGTTGAGTTGGGAACTTCTAAGGCTCTCGGTCTTCTTGGTGTTCCTGGCTTTTGTATTTCAGTACAAAATATTCAGTACAAGTCAAGTACAACTTGGTATGTACCTAATTAACAAGGGATGATGAATGTGTTGAACAATGGATGAGGAAGATGAGTATTATCCATTTAATCCTGGCTGTACTGGAAGCAAATGGGAAGGGAAATGGGTATACAAGCAAAAAGTAGTTATGGTAGGCAAGGCTGGAAGCCTACAAGACTAAAATAAAAGTTTTAGCTATGAAAAAGGAAAGGTTAACATTTTAGATATGTTGTAGTGGGAAAAGATCAGTAAATATAACTGCAAAGGGTTGTACTATCAAGAAACTTGATAATGACACATACAAGGAAATAGAATTGACTGATTTGGCTATATACTGAAGGGTCATTTAACAACTATCTGGGTAGGTATAGAGAAATGTATTATTTCAGTTCTTGAGGAATCTAGTATTACATGACAATATGAAAATGAAAAATCAACAGTTACGTATTTCTGCCAACCTCCGCATACCATAATGGTTAAATAGCCAGCAGTCACCAGCATTCAGTATCCTACCATTTTATTAGCTAGGTGATGTAAACAAAAATGCTTTAAACTACTCTTGTTAAACAAGAATTCTTTTTTCTATCTGTTCATTCCAATTATACTTAATTGTCTTCTGGATCTATTGGTGACAAACCTTCCTGGGGAGCGTTGCAGCAGTTGGCTGGCATTCTGAGTTGACTGCCAAGTCAAAAACTACATTTGGTTAATTAAACAATGTTCCTTGCAATGACAGCTAATGGGCTGCTGGTTTCAGACTCAGCCTCTGTTACACTGACTGGTACAGTATTCTTGGTGGCAAGCCATAGTATATAAAGGCACAATAAATTTTCCAGATTAGAACATACATGCCTTATTCCCAGCTAAATGAATAACATGTAATATATCAAGCACCAATAGCATTTAAATGCAATTTCAGTTTCCTTTTAATAAAACCCAATAAGATTTATTAACATGAGAAGAAATATGCACAAAAACACAAAATGTCCTGAAATGCATAGCTTAAGGTTCCAACAGTCATGCAAGTCAGCTGTATTAATATATTAAATGTATTGCATTATATTTTACTATAAAGAATAATATTTTTTTAAATAAATATGACTTCAAGTGAAAGTGCGTAAATCAGGATCAAATTTTTATACTATGAGTTCACTTATATTAAGAAATAACTAGAAAAGCAGGAGTAGAATTAGATATTTGCATTATTATATGATTTATATTGTTAGACACTTTGCATTTCTTGGTTTAACAGTATAGTCAGTTGTTGCTATATAGGTGATTTGTAAAAGTGGCAAAAAAATTACCTTGTTATCTTTTTTGATGATTTGCGGTATAGTGGAAACAAAGTATTCTGTAAAGTATTCTGCTGGAAGTTATTTTGTTTTGTTTTGTCTTTGCTTTACTGAGACAATTTTTTCTCTGTTTTCACACAGACTTTCAAGTTTCATCTTCTTTGTATGTCTATATAAACTTAAGTCTCCAGAGACTATGGCTGATGAAAGGACTCTGCTAAGATGTTTGCCGCTAATAGACACTTTCCTGGGCTATGTTATGAAAAATTAGGTTTATGTTGTTATAGCCATTGGGCAGTCGTGAAAAAAGGCTGCAAGTGATGAACTGAGACAGAGGGGGAAGAGACTAATGTTTTAAACACCTTTTTTTATTCTGTTTTTTTTTTTTGCTAAAATTTGTTTAATTAAATAGTCAAACAAGGTCTTGTTCAAAATTCAGTATACCGGGTTTGTATTCCTAATTGTTCTACAGTTAAAAGAAAATATAAAACATATACACACACAAAAAAAGACAAACACCCCATTCATACAACCCCAGGCAAACTAAGAAAGTATTAGAATTCTTTCCAACATTCCTTACATATTACAAAGAAGTAAAAAATATGTTAAGCCTTTTGCATGTCAAATACAGCATCATCTAGACAGTAATTAGCCTCAAAACAAACAATTAAAAAGAAAAAATGAGCAATTGTTTGTGTTGATAAATGTTGCTGTTTAGTAGGGTTCTTCTAGATATTTCTATAAAACTTTTTAAACAGAAATATAGTTTTCTGTCAAAATTAAGTTTTATTGGGCAAAAATTTCTACTTTCAGAATACTTTGTTCATTAGTGCCCCTGGCAGATGTTAGTGCAATAATGCAATTGGGATCTGAGGAATTTTTGATCCAAAAAAATGGAGTCATTCCATACTAGACATTCAGCTGATTGTTGTGATGAGGAAGGGGAGGCCCCTGGGATCAGGGACATGCTGCCTCCTGCTCAGTCCTTGGGATCAAGCAGGAGGCAACCCTGGATCCCAGTTGAAGACCCAGTTTGGGACCTAGAATTGCCCCCTTCCCCAATCCTGATGATCAGTTGGTTGTGTATTCCACAGCTGCACATCTGGCATGACAAGTCACAAGATTTTTTAAATCAGGCATAAAATTCCTCAGATTCCAGTTGTGAGAATACATTAACTTTTGATCATCAGGACTGGACAATGGGTAGGCTGATGGTGGGACACATGCCACCATAGACGATGCAAAAGCTTTTGCAGTAGGGAGGCACAACTCAACACTGTGCGGGCCGGGAGCGATCCGGGCCCTTTTCCGTGCTGCACGCGGGCTGTGGCCAGCAGCCCGGGCACGCTGGATCGGAATGGGTGGGCGCCGAGCTGGAATTAGGCACAGACGCTTAGCGGTAGTTTTAAAGATTGTTTACTTACACCAGAGATGGTCGTGGTGTAGGCTGGAAAACTTGCTTGAGTTGCGGGTACAGACAAAGACAACACGGATGGTCGCATGGAGTTTGTTAGGCTCCACGGAAACAGAGCTCCGGATGCTCTGGGTGAGAGCGCCACCAAAATTGGACTCGTAGATACGTCTTATAAATTCTTTCCGCTCGAAGACGGGAAGAGGTGGGTGATGGATCAGGTCGCCAAGCTCCTCTGAATCTCACACAGAGTCTCTATTACCCTGCCGTGTATCCAGAGTCCCCACGAGATGGATGTGGAGTCCTCTTCGGCTTGGGCGGAAACTGCTCAAGCCTCTTATACGGCTAACAGGCCAATCGTTAGCCGCCACGTGGGAATAATTTAGAACTAGCCAATAGTGGGGAACGAATTTGCATGTGGGTGGTGGGAACTCTTTTGCACCGTGCATTTCTCTTGCAACTTGAGCAATGCACCCTGCAAAAGAAGCTGCAAAGAGGCAGGAAACTCATCCCTGCACCGGGGTTCTCCTCTGCAATAGGAAACTCTCCCGTGCAATGAAGCTGTAACCTGGTGGGGATAATTCTGGTGCCGAAGCACACACAAAATCATGCCTTTGGGTCATGACAAACACCACCGCCACCACCCCCACCCACAGTGCTGCTGGACACTGGCTCCAGCCAGGCTGGAGCCCTGTGCCCTGCGGTTGGTGCAGAAATCTGAAAAAGCATGTGTCCCCTTATCCTTCCCCCCACCCATGCATTGCCTATGCATGCCACATGTTTAATCATTCATTAGGGCAGTGCATTTACCATGGGCTGGCACCTCCCTTATCAAGAAAAAACACCTAACATACTACAGCAGATACAGGCTAAGAATAAATAAGGGAAATATGACCCATAGAGGGGAATGGGGGGATTAGGGGCCAAAATCAAAATTCTGAAGAGCCAGAGATGCATTAAAGTGTTTTAGTTTATTTTTAAATGTAGTCCTTTTCCCTCTGAGAACTCTAATTTTCCAAGATTTTGTACTTACTTTTGTTAAAGTCTTCTCTGCAAACCCTCTCCATTTTCTCATAAATGTCAATATTAGGTTTTTGCTCTGTTTTTAGAGCACACCCTTGTAGGCAGAGGGTGAAATAGCTCACTACTTTGTTCTACCTGTCGATTGTACTGAGTGCACTTTTTCTTGCTGTTACTTTTTATTGAAGTGGCTGTACAGTTAGAAATAAAATGTTAAAACTTATTTTTTAAATGGAAGATTGTAAAAGATTGAAAGAAAAATGAAAAAAAAAAACGCATTAAAGCATAAATGCCCTGGTTTTAAAGATTCAGTGAGAGGGAAGACAGTTGTTCATGTTCATGATGTTAAAACAGAGTTTTGGGCAGGGTTTCTGTTTTGAGAAATTTTGTATGAATTTTACTAAAACATACCATTTTTACTCACATACCACACATAGCTTTAGAATGATGTCACATAGGTTCCTAGCCGAGATACAGGACCTCCATCTAACCCAGGAGGTGCATAGCCCCACCAGGGGAGACGCCTTGTTGGATCTGGTGCTGGCCACAGGCGACAACCTCATGCTATCACCTGTGGCCAGCACCAACCTCGTGCTGTTGCCCAGGTGCTTGACAAGCTATTTCAACACTGACAAGTGCAAGGTGCTGCACCTGGGGAGGAAGAACCAGCAGCATACCTACAGGCTGGGGAACTCCCTTCTTGTCAGTGCAGAGGCAGAAAAGGATCTTGGAATCATTATTGATGCCAAAATGAACATGGGCCGACAGTGTGGGGATATGGTCAGGAAGGCCAACCACACCTTGTCATGCATCCACAGATGCATCTTGAGCAGGTCCAAGGAGGTGATCCTCCTGCTCTATGCAGCACTGGTCAGGCTGCAGTTGGAGTACTGTGTCTAGTTCTGGGCACCGCACTTCAGGAGGGATGTGGACAGCATTGAGAGGGTCCAGAGGAGGGCCACCTGCATGATCAGGGGGCAGCAGGGCAGGCCATATGAGGAGAGGCTACGGGATCTGAACCTGTTTAGCCTCTACAAGAGAAGGCTGAGGGGAGATCTAGTGGCCTGTTACAAACTAGTCAGAGGGGACCAGCAGGCATTGGGGGAGTCCCTGTTCAGGCAGAGGGTAAATTCCAACTAGACATCAGGAGGCGCTACTTCACAGTCAGGGTGGCTAGGATCTGGAACCAACTTCCAAGTGATGTGGTGCTGTCTGCTACCCTGGGGGTCTTTAAGAGGAGGTTAGACAAACACCTTGCTGGGTTCATTTGACCCCAGTACTATTTCCTGCCATGGCAGGGGGTCGGACTTTATGATCTGCTCATGTCCCTTCTGACCCTACCAACTATGAAACTATGAAACTATGCTCAAAACATAATTAAAAAAAACCCCTATTAACCCCCTTCCACACAACTTTTAAATATTTGGATTTGGAAATGCTGTAATTTTCCATTTTCCTCATGAAAACTGTCCTATTACCAGCTCCACAGGAATAACCTGTTAGGGACGAGGGTATGGACAGTCTGGGAAGGTCAGCAGATATTTGGGTGAAGTCCAAGGACTGGATTCACAAGGAGTCAGTAGTCATACCTGAAGTTGGAGTGAATCAGAGGTCAGAGCTGAAGTCAGGCTGAGCCAGTAGGGTTAGGCCTAGCTTTTAAAAAGCAGGGGTATCAAAGGCATCCAACCCCACAGGCTGGATAAAGGTCTCTGGGCTGGTCTGCAAATGCTAGAGCTAGTGTGCAGGGCCAAGCCAGTGAGACACAGCATGCAGCACACGCCCTGTGCTGGCATTCTGTGCCCTCGGCACAGGAGGCCAGGATGGGGTGTGGGCTGCATACAGTCCCCCAACAGACAAGCCCTCAGCACTGGCTCCAGAGCTGGTCAGGATTGAGCCCCAGACTGTCCATGCATACCACAACCAGCATGTGGGACTGTCTGGTGGAACAACACATGTAGTGTGTGCCTTGTGCCAACCCCCCATGCCATGGGCCATGTAGTGTCAGGTCCAGCCAACATGCAGCAGACAGCATAAGCCTTAGGGTGGGGCTGGTGCATGATATACATGGTGCATGGGCTCAACCTGGCACTATGGTGGGGGTGGGCAAAATATGGTCTGTGGGCTGGATTTGGCCCACCAGGCCATTCTATCTGGCCTGCAGAGCATCTAAGATGTTTATAAAATTAATATTTATCTGCTCCTGGATGACTGTCAAAGATGACAGGAGCCGGGGCAGTAGGATCCAGGGGAAGCCAGCAGAAGTCAGAAGAAAGGCCAGGCCACCCCTGCCCACCAACCCGGAAACCTCTGCCTGCAGCTGCTTTCTCTGCATGCTGCTGCTCCAGCACCACATGGTCCCCAGCTGCATTGCTGGACCATAGGAGCACGAGGCTGCTCTGGTACCCCAGGGCCAGGAGCGGGAGGGTTGTGTTTGTGTGTATATGTCTGTACAATGAGGGAGTGTGGAGAGAGAGAGAGAGAAATGAGGGAAGCACACAGTGTGTGTGTGTGTAGTGAGGGAAGCACACTGTGTGTGTTGTTGTGTGCAATGAGGGAGGGACAGGGGAGTGTGTGTGAGTTCATAGGGTGAGTCCCACAAGCACCCCCAACATACACATGCACTCCCCCCTTGCACTGCCATACATGCAGACTCCTACATCCACACCTGCTCACACACCCCTGCTACTGTCCCCACCACAGTCCTCCACAAACCCCATATCCACCCATACCTCACAAATCTACCAACCCCCATGTACTCCCTCACCCCACACCCCACACACCTACCCATCCCTATAAACCTCCACACACTCACACCCTCCCCCACATATCCACACACCCACAGCCCCCCAAAAAACCTATACCCACCCCCCATGCTCCCCACACTCCCACAGTATACAAGAGTCAGAGTTCATTTTAAGCCATTGTGCAATCACCTCTATGTACACTACAGAAACACATGTAAATAAGGATGAAATCAAACT